CGTATGAAACAACTTTCCTATCTGTGCTATATTTGATGGTAATCTTTTGGATGTTACTCTCGTCAGTGTGGAAGGGTCTTATAGTTACGTTACTCTTTCTTTTATTTTAATATTAGTTATTTATCTCTCGACTTCCCTCTGCATCCACTGGCCGTCGAGAATAGCATGTGTTGCTCCAGATGTGGTGCCATTGGCTTCTCTGTTACAGACGATAGTCTCTATTTTTGCCTCTCTTGTGGTGGACAATCTCAAGATATATTTGAACATGGGATTGATGGAGCCTCTCTTGTGGTGGACAATCTCAAGATATATTTGAACATGGGATTGATGGAGATATGTTTGATGGTATCTAGAGACATGATAATTCTAGAAAAATAGATTACACCCAGGTCTCTGAAACGAACACGACGAGATCAAAACCCTAGCTTCACTTCATATGCTCAATAGGAGCCAAGATTATGGTAAATCTTCTGTTTTTTTAGAGAGTGAGGAAGTTGAGGAAGGATGTCCTGCTGAGTTTGGAAGCCAGAATAAAAATCCGAGCTACGACGAAGAGATTGCGGAGGCCTTGAGGATGAAATACGTGGAAGGGATTCAGATTATGATTCAGTTGCAGTGCGAGGTGGAGAAGTTCGGTGTGAGCCCATTGGTCTGTGGCTTGGTTGGGCCTATATGGATGAGGTATCTTGCTTCGACTAAGGTTTTGGATGAGGAATGGGCTAATCAAGAGATTATTGCATCTGAATTTTGCTCTAGAAAAAAAGAAGAGAGAGGTGAGAGTTTGTGGTGTTTTCTTGTTGCTATGTTGTTTTCTTCCTTACTTTTACGGTTCAAGTATCTTGTCTTTTCCAGGCTCATTGTGATGATGCTTTTAGTTTTTTTCTTCATTTAATTATTGGTACAAAGTGAAATTATGCTACTTAATGTAGTATAAAGGACGAATGGCATCCCCAAAAGAAGAGCTAGGTTCCCAGACAAATTTCTACCTAAAGCGTTGAGAATTCTCATTTGGAATATGTATTGTTTCACAGTTTGCCCTTAATAGAGTAGAATGACGGACCGGGATTCATGTAGCCGACCCCAATTTGTTGGGAAAAGGCTTTGACGTAGATGATGATGATCGTTTCACATGTGGGATGCACAAAACTACTGGAAATGAGGTCACAAACCCAATCTCAATGTGAAACCTCAACGATAATGACAAAATTAAGCTTTCAGCACCCACCACTAGGGGCCTGTACCTTAATCCTACAAGGCATTATATTACCACTTGTATACTTGGCTCAAAACCATCTCAATTTTCTATCAATAACACATTACAATTGCCTCGTCTATAGTTCTGAAGAAACCTCAGCCGTTAAATACATGCGCAATTATCATTTCAACATGTATCCAGAGATGACAATCTTAGATATATTGATCTCAAAATTCGCAATTATCATTCCAACATGTATCCAGAGATCACAATCTTAGATATATTGATCTCATAATTTGGATTCTCTGATGCATTTGCATAATTGATATGTCATGGGTAAGTTATGAAAAGTAAGTACATAAAAATGAACTTTCAGAAAATAAATTGAATATTTGAAAAATTAGGTTCCATTGGCGGTTTTATTTATTGGGAATGTCATAACTTTCTGTCTAATTTATAGGCAGGTTAACAAAGTGTCTGAAACTTCCACAAATTCGAGTGACTGTTTTCATTCTTAACTGAATGGAATAAGTATTACTGTGGACCTTTAGCATTATATGTTTTATGTTACTGTTTGTACATGTTGTTCCATGTATTTTCCATAGTCCTTGCTGGGGATAATCAATGAGATTATAGTTACTGGAGTTCAATGTGACAAATGGAATCCAATATTGGGGTGACATTGATGCAGGATTTGAGAGCAATTATACATCAATTATTTTGGTTCATCTGCCTTGGTGCCACTTAGAAGGAGCTGCATTCTTTGCAAATCTTGTTTTAGTTTCGGCTATTTGTTTTCATTGGTGTAGCTTAATGTATGGAATTACTTTCTTTTGACCAATGCTGCAGTATAATACATTCTAAAACCTGTAAAACTGGCTTTCTAGACTTCTAGGAGTAGGGGACACTTGTTTTCTATTATTTGCTTCAAAAATGCAAACATGACTATTAAATTATTAAAATCCAGATTTCCAACTGAATCTATCTTACTAGAGTGATGATTTGTCCAACATTAAGATATATTTTGAATCCAACAAACAAATAATGTTTACCCCTTGTTTTGTTTGCTCTTTTGATTCTTGAAGATAGTTCGTCACTTCCTTCAGAGAATGATTGAGCCTTGACACATCTCGAAGAGGCTGATACGCCTGAGTGTTCCACAAATGCTACAGAGATCCACGTTGCAGCGGACGGGGCTGCAGAACATCCCTCCCTTGTGGAGCCTTATGGAAGCGACATTCATGAACCAAAACCATGCACAAGCGGGCCTTAAACCCACAGCAAGACTATGCACATCCTATGGCCCACAAAGATCAAGCTGCTGTCAAAATTGACGAAACGACCACAAGATCTGAGTGCATCCCTGAGGTCGATAAAACAGCACCTGTTCAAGGGGAGAGAATGCCTGCTGCTACAGTAGGTGAGGTGTCACTTCCATAACCTCCGTGTCTATAATTTCCTGGAATGTTAGGGGCCTTTGTGGACCGGGAAGGGTGATGGATATTAAGAATTAGTTGCGCTGTAAAATGCTGGCCTTCTCATCTTGTTTGGAACTAAATTGAAAGCTAACATGGCTTCACTTGGGCTCATAAATTGGTTTTTATAATTCTCTGGCTGCTAATTATGTCGAGGGGAGGTCCAAAGTTTTGCTGTTTTGGAATCCTAAGTTCTATTTAGTTAGAAATAATTGACTCTTACTCATATGTTTACTGTTGATGCTCTTGGAATTAGCACCAATTGTTCCATGGCTATCTCGAGGGTCTATGGATTTAATACATTTGCTGGAAGGAAACCTTACGGGATCAACTTTTGAATACTAGGAACAGTTTAACAGGTCCGTGACTGATCATGGGTGATTTTAACACTTTATCAGATGACTCAAAAGAGTTGGGTGGCCGGAATCAAATTGCTAGCGATTCAAAAAACTTTGCTAAAGCTCTTGTTGATTGTGAAATCACTGATCTAGGTGTTCAAGAAGCTAGTTCTCTTGGTTGAACAGCCAAGGAGGGGCTCGGCATATCTGGGAGCCTCTAGACCGGGCAATAGCTAGCATAGATTGGAATTTTTCTTTTCCTGAATCTAAAGTGGGGCTTTTACCTAAGGGAAGTTCGGACCACTGTCCTCTTTTAGTTATCCCCTCTTTCATTCCAGACAATAGCGTACTCGGGTTAGAGGCTTTGGGCTTTCCTCAAGTTTTTATGTCTTGGGTTCATGACTGCATTTCTACTCCTTGCTTATCGGTTTTCATAATGGGTTCCACAAAGGGTTTTTCAAGGGGAACATAGGTTTGTGTCAGGGTGACCATCTATCGCAATACCTTTTCTTCTAGTTATGGATTTTCTTAGCCGGTGACTGGAAGCAGCCACCTCCAATGGACTTCTACTAAAAGCCTTGCTCTTGGGTTGTGATTATGGGGTCTCTCATTTGCTATACACAGATGATGCCTTAATCTTTTGTGAGGCTTCTACCTAATCTGCCAATGTTGTGCAAGTCATTATGGGATTCTTTTGCAATGTCACGAGTCAACAACTAAACATTGCCAAAAGCAAGATTCTCTTCATTGGGGTGAATGAAATGTAGACATCCCTAGATTTGGTGAAGGGACTCTTCCACTGAAATATTTAGGCTTACCTTATTTCAAGGTTCTCTAAAGCATTCTTATTGTAATAGAAAAATTGGCTCCTGGAGGCCTTATCCCTCTCATTCGATAGCCGCCTCCAATTGCTCAAGTATGTCCTCGGCGCATCCTCCATCTACTGGATTTTATTCTTTCTACTTCTGAGTAGAGCTTGTCATATGATTGAGAGATTGCTGCGCAATTTCCTATGAGCAGATTTATCAAAACAAAAGGGGGTCCACCTGGTTAACTGGAACACTGTTTGCTTTAAACTTGAGGAAGGAGGTCCAGGGATCTGTCTGCAACTTTAACATGGCAGGTATGATGAAATTGGTTTGGAGAATAATTGTGAATCCCTCCTCTTTGATTGCTCTCTTCTTTAAGCACCTATATTTTCCTACACCTAAAATGGCATTATGAGGGGTATCAATAAGTTGCTGTATAATGTGAGATAGATAATAAGCAATGGTACCTTGGGTGGATTTTTGGGCTGACCAAGGACTTTATGAAAAAAACATTGGGACTCCTTTGGCATGGATATTCATCGAGATCTGGCAATCTTGCCAAACATAAGGTTGTTGACTATTTGCATGGAACTCCACCTATGTGGGTCCTGCCTTATCCCTTATCAAGTTCTCTTGTACGTGCTTGAGAGGAAATTAAATCCTTTACAGTGCCTATACAACTTGAGGAATATTTTTTGGTTTGGATTCATTCTCCCCATGGTCGCTTTACTGTCAAGAGCTTCTGGCAACACATAAGATGCAGGGGGAAGACAACCCATTTTCAAAGCCCTATGGTCCTCCAATTCTCGCCCAAGGTCCAAAATGGTGCTCTTGACTTTCTACACTAGTGCCTCCCTACTGTGACTTGCCTCTAGTCTAAGGGTATCACCTTCGTCTCTAGATGCTCTTTTTGTCTTCAGGAAGAGGAGAATGGAGACTATTTATTATTCCAACGTGTTTTCCGCAAGTTCTCTAGAGATCTATAGCCTGGAGATGCGAAAAACTCATGGCTTCTGAATGGTCTGTTCCACTAATGTTTGAAAAGTGGATAAAGTTCCGTTTTAAATCCACTGGACAATGCAATGTTTGGATTGCCCTCTTCCCTTTCATCATTTGGATGCTTTGGACTGAAGCAATAGGTGGATTTGCGAAGGGAAATGCTCCAAGCGTGAGTGCCAACCAGTGTTCCAAAAAATGTTGGGCGGCGCCTAGGCGGGCAGGGGGTCTAGGCTGCCCAGCACCTAAGTGGTCGCCCAGAACCTAGGCAGCTCAGTGGAAAGAAAAGTTGTTTTAGGGGTCAGATTTTGTGTAAAAACTTAAATGAGACATATTTTAGTCTATAATTCCATGTATTTCAAATTGAGACATATTAAAAAATTCATATTGAGTTATATTTTAGTCCATAATCCAAGATAGCAACTTAGCAAGACTGCAAGACATCAATTCATCATCAAGAAAATGAAAGAAAATAAAAATAACACAGAGTTATGGCACATCAAATGTCTATAGTCCACAAGTCCACATAGCACATACACTCCTCCATAGTCCATAAGTACATTCCAATTATCCATAGCCCACGCATAGTTAAAGCTTAAAATTTACAAACTAAACCACAATACACAACCAAGAGGAGGAAAATAAAAATGATAGAAATGTAGACTCAAAAGAGTTCAATCATCACTCATCATCAGAAAAAGCAGGGTCAGCTGCATTTGCATCATATTCATTGGAGTCGAAGCCATCATCATCGAAATCATCTCCCTCTTTGACATAATGGTCGTCCTCCTCTGTCGCTTTTGAATCTGCCTCTGCTTCTTCCGCTTCCTGTTCCACCCTCGTCCTCTGGGAAGAACATCTGGTGGCCCTATGAGCCTCGGCTAATGTCCTTGAGGCCTCCATGACCATATCCTATGTCAATCGTTCATGTCCCTCGACTTCATCATCATCATCAATCAA